GTATATCCATACAATTGAATATTATTCAGCCTTAAAATGGGAGGATATTTTGATACATGCTACAACATGGATAAACCTTGAAGACATTATGCTAAGTGACATGAGCCAGTCACAAAAGGACAAATATTGTATGATTCACTTAAAGGAAATATCTAGAGTAGGCATATTCATAGAGACAGAAAGCACATTTAAAAGTTACCAGGGACTGGGGGAAAGAGGAATGAGGACCTATTCTTTAATGACTACAGAGTTTCTGTTTGGAGCGATGGAAAATGTTTGGAAATAAATGGTGATGGTTGCACAACATTGTGAATATAACTAATACTATTGAATTGTACACTTAAAATGGTTAAAATGGCAAATTTTATGTTATATATATTTTACCACAAAAAACTCTCATCAAATAGTTATGTACTATAGCCCAATAATTTTACCTTCCCTCATTCTGATATTATTAGTTACCTTAAATTAACCACAGCCATTAAATATAGAGCTAATGTATAGACTTAAAAAAAAAAAACAAACCTCTGATGCTTGCATGAAGACCCTTCTGTAAGATATAGGACAGAGTTTGTATTTTCCACAAAGGTCAGTCTCAGTGCTTCATAGAAAAGGACTGTACTAGCTAATTCAAACTATTGACATGTCAGAATAGACTCCTGGGTACAGGTTTCTGAGTTAACACTGTATAAACAAATTTCAGACCATACCATGGGACCAAGTCAGGATTTCCAGGAATTTTTGTTTTTGAGTTCAGAAGCATATAGCTTTATGAAAGCAGACTATTAACCCAAGATCCAGCAGAACGCTAATTACGTGGGACTGAATAAATTGATGAGGGTAATTTTACTGTGGTTATTTGTTTAGAATAGTGTTGATGTTGTTTTAATGTTCTATTTTCTGAATATATTAGGAAACCCTTCCTCTTTCTTCATAAGCTATTTGTAACTCGAAACAATTTAGTAGATGTTGCTTCTATAAATTAAAATATTTTAAAATGATACGATTCTCGCTGACCTCTTCCCCATCCGACCCCTACTCCTAAATTCAGAAACTCTTACTAAGTCTCCCTGCTTTTCATAGCAATATAGTTATTTACATTGGTTCTATAAGAATCTGTCCTTTTTTTCACCAAGATATAATTGGAAAAATTGATTGTGTAACCAAGGCCTTACCTAGAGTATCATAATTAAAATGATACACAATCTAGTATGACAAGCTACTTTTAAGGGACAAGGCTGACTTTACCTCAACTTAATGGAGGAAATGCTTATAAACCCTCTTAGAGAATTGTCGTGGTACCTCCCAATCTTAAGTGTGGTGGTAAATTGACTTAGTTTCTGGCAGGCCAGGAACCTTAGTAAATTTGGAGGACCTTGAGAAGAGATGACTTTCCCCAAATTTATAAGTTCAATAAGTGAAATCTGATGGAGAGAGTTTCTTGGACTTGGTTACCCCGGTTTGGAATAGCATATAAGAAGAGGCTTTTAGAAGTACATTCTGAGATTCTCTGTAAAAATGTCTAGACAGAAGTTAAATCTGTGGAGTTGGTAGCTGTTCAACACTATATAGCTCTAGATTTGCAAAGTAAATCCAAGGAGTCCTATTTGGTTAATTAATACTTGTGCTGTACCTATGTAAATAACCTGGGCAAATCTAATGAAGCAAGTCTGTTTTGTGATAATGAATACTATTTCTCTGAGATTATTATGATTACAGAGGAGGGTGGTAGATAGAAGGCTATCCAAGAAAAATTGTGGCAGACTTCAAAACAGGGGAAAAAATTACTGTGTGTTCAATCTAGCATACCCTTGAGAGTTACCTCTACCTAAATTATCTTTGAGCCATTTTCAACTCAATAAGTTGTAGAAAACTGTTAGTAATGCAAATGATTCTTGTCCATAGAAATGCAGGTGAATTGTGTTCCATGGAGATGAACTTGGTCATTTCTCTGTGGATATTGACCAGTTTTGCATCTAGTTGTATATTTATTTCAACATTCTTTTTTTAATTTTTTTAATTTTTTTATTTCAGCATATTATGGGGGTACAGATGTTTAGGTTACGTATGTTGCCCTTGCCTCCCCTCCCCCCCAAGTCCGAGCTTCAAGCGTGTCCATCCCCCGGGTGGTGTGCATCGCACTCATTAATTGCCCATGTGGGTGTTTTCTTTTTTTGAACCAGTCACATCTTACTGGTTCCCTTGCTAATTAACGAGTTAAGAAAGTCCTTGACATGTGTTCAAAAAAACAAAAGAATAGAAGTCCAAACTTTAAAAATAGAGATGTGGAAGACAAAACAATAGTCATGAAAGACTGGCAAAAGAGATCCAAAACATGCATAGAGTCTCCAAAGGAAAAAATTAAAACAATGGAATAAAAACAAATGGCTAAAAACATAAATTTAGAAAACTTCCTGGAAATAGAGGAATACTTGAATCTACATGTTGGAAAAGTACACTATGTTCCAGAAAAAACTAACACAGAATATTCAACACTAACCCATTCCCCAGTAGGGTGTGTTCTGTTACCATATTTTTTTGATTAATAGATATTACTTTTAAAAGCAGTTTTAGATTCACAGCAAAACTGTGCAGAAAGTACATAGAGTTCCCACATACCCTTGCATCTCCCCCCACAGCATCCCCTACTATCAACATCCCACACTGATTTGGTACATTAGTTAGAATTGATGAACCAACATTGATGCATCATTTTCAAAACCCATAATTTACATCAGGGTTCACTCTACATGTTGTATATTTTATGGGTTTTGACAAATGTATAATGACATGTATCCACCATTATAGTATCATACAGAACAGTTTCCCTGCCCTAAAAATTCCCTGTGCTCCACCTACTCATCCCTCCCTCCCTCCCTTCCCCCAAGCTCCTGGCCAACCACTGATTTTTTACTGTTTCCACAGTTTTGCCTTTTCCAGAATATCAAATATTTGGAATCATACAATATGCAGCTTTTTCCACATTGGATTCTTTCACTCAGTAATATGCATTTAAGGTTCCTCCATGTATTTTTGTGGCTTAACAGTGCTGACTAATATTTCATTGCATGACTGTACCACATTTTAAAACATCCATTCACCTGTTAAAGGACATCTTGGTTGCTTCCAAGTTTTGGCAATTGTGAATAAAGCTGCTATAAGCATCCCCATGCAGGTTTTGGAGTGGTTATAGGTTTTCACTCTTTTAGGTAAATACCAAAAGGAGTGTGATTGCTGGGTCATATGGAAAGACTATGTTAATTTTGTAAGAAACACCAAACTGTCTTCCAAAGTGGCTATACTGTTTTGCATTCCTACCAGCAACGAATGAGAGCTCCCGTTTCTCTGTATCCTCACCAGCATTTGGTGTTGTCAGTGTTTTGGATTTGGTCATTCTAATAGATGTGTAGTGCTATCTTATTATGGTTCTAATTTAAAATTCCCTAATGACTGTGTGTTCGTGTGTGTTCTAGGAACACAGCTAGACTGTGTATGTGTGTATACACACACATGTATAACTAGACTATATATATAGATATATATTTTATCTACATATTTATATCTCTGTCTCCATATCTATAGCTAGTCTAAGTGTGTATATATATAAACATATAACTAGATTGTAGATATAGATATATATATACATACAGAGAGAGAGAGAGAGAAATCTTCATCTTCATCTCTCTCTCTCTCTCTCTCTCTCTCTCTAGTCTAGTTGCATTCCTAGAAAGAAGAAATTGATTTTTTTAGTGGACAGCTAGGATTCTGACACACTTTTGTTAATAAATGTCATTGAGACTATGAATTTTGCTCTGAGTACTGCTTTAGCACTTTAGATTCTGGTATGAGGTATTTTAATTATTATTATTTTCTAGGTATTTTGTCGTTTTGGTTTTTAAAAATGTCCAGGTGGTAGGGTGCTTTTTATGATTTCATTATTAATATCTAATTTTTGCATTGCAATCAGATAATGTCTACTTTATTTATGTGTCTTAGAATTTATTGAGGTTTTTCTTGTCATCAGTTTTGTAAATATTCAAGGGGCATATAAAAAGAATATGTGTTTTCTGTTCTCAGGACACAGAGTATATTTTCAGGCTATGGAGTATATTTCCATTAAATCTTCTATAGTAAGTATTTTATTTAGGTCTTCTCTATGTTTACTTTTTGTTTTTATTCATTCGAATAACTGTCATAGGTTGAAAGAGATAAATTTTATGTGTTTATGTTCCTCCTTATAATTCCTATAATTTGATACCAAAATCTGTCAAAGATGTGACACATGCACAAAAAGAAAATGACAGACAAATAATTTCTAAATGTTAGGAAACAGAATTCATCAATATATTAAAATAAGAACACACCACGACAAAATAGGGTTTATTGCAGGAATGCAATGATGACTTAATTTTAGGAAATCTATTATTATAATTCAATATATTAATAGTTCAAAAGAGAAAAATCATATGATTACCTCCATAAAGTCTGAAAAGGCATGTAATTCAATTCAATATCCATTGATTTTAACAAAATCTAAAACAGGAATAAATGGACACTATAAAAACGTCTATCTAAACCTAAAAGACAATATCATCTTTAATGAGGAAACAGTATCAAGCTATTATATAACTTCAAAAGGTTGACTACTATTTAGATCCTTTTATAAGAAAACATTAGCAATATCTGATATCTTGATTGTGATTTGGAAGACTATAGCCTACATTTAGTCAGAGTTAAAGCTTGATTAAATTAGACATTAACTCTAGCAACCAAAGAGCAATAATGACATGTTGAACAATAAAATATTAAATATTATATTTTCATAAAAAGAAAATTAAAAAATATTCTTACTCCAAGCAGTGTGTTATGGAGTCAAAATACTGACATACAGTGGAGAAAAATCAGTTCTTAAATAATCATTTGACTGGTGACAAAAACTTGGTAATTCAGATTCTAAACTCCCTTCATAACAGTTACCGAACTTCCAGTTTTCACTGTACCTGTTTGTTTCAGGAGATTCCAGATGTCGTTGCATTTATGGATCTGCTCAAGTGCACGATTTAGTAACCTGGTCTATTTGGCAAAAATGCAGCAAGATAATTAGTCTCAACAAAAAAGAACTTTAAGCAAATTAATATAATCTCTTATCATTTTCATTAAAACAGCTAAAAATAAAATGATAGTTTAAACTGAACATGTTGGATTTATATAGAAATATTAGCCTTTATTTGCACTTTTCCCCAGGAAATGAGGATTAAATGGAAAACATTGAGTGCTGTCAATTTCTTTAATAATCTAGAAAAGAAGATAAATACTTTCAGAATGGTGGTGTGAGGAGCTCCATGGACCCTCTCCCCAGCCAAGTAATCGCAACTGGTGAGAATTATAAAACATCATATAAAGGCTCAGAAAATTGCCCCGAGGGCATAGAGAAAATGCAGAAACATTTATTCCATGAAATTTACTAAGACCCAGTAAGAACAGTGAGAGGCTGTGACATTTAAGCCATGACCCATTGACCAACCCCCAGCTCAGTGTGATGTAAGCACTACTTTAGGTAGGTGTGGCCAAGGAGATGGGACTCTATCCCTAGCTTCCAGACTAGGGATTCCCAGGAGGGCCAGATTTACCGCACTTCTCATCCCCCCAGGTCTGTATTGTAGAAGCTCTATTATAAAGAAGCATAGCTGAGAGGCCTTGGAGCTCTCTTTCTCTGCCCAGCCCCAATTCATAGGGCAAAAGCTCTACACCAGGAATGGTAGGTTCAGAATACGGGATCTCAGTTGCTCTCATCTCAGCTTGCTTATAGGATAATTTCCACGCTGGGAGAGGCAAGCCAAGAATATCAGGGACTACAACTGTTAACCCAGTCCTCCACTCAAATAGCTGGACTATCACTCTGAGAGAAGTGGGCCACTATCCCTGCCCCTAGCTCTACAACAGTGGTTCAGACTTTCTGCCCACTATGAGAGGCAGGTCATTAGGAGTGAACTTGTGGCGCTCCCTAAAGGAAATGACTAATTGGAACGAGCCTGGGGAAGTTCAAGTCTAAGGACACTGTAAAAAATCATGGAGATTCTGGTAACGAGCAAATTATGAGGAAGCTAGTAGCTCAATGATATCAACAAACAAAACAAAGGAACAACTAGAAGTTCACAGAGTGAACCCAGTGAAGAGATAACTAAGAAGATCCCTACTCCTTCAAAGGGGACTTATTTTAATGGAACAGGCTGTGAAGCAATTTATGCCCAAGACTATTTTCAAAATATACATACATACAAACAGAGTAATCATCTAGCAATTAGTTAAGAGTAACAGCTGGATGTGATACCAATAGAAGACCATCTAGACCTTAAATCTAGAGGGAGATCAGGGAAAGAGATAGTAAAAAAGAACCCTGCTAAAACCACTGTCATGCCTTATTAGGGGGGAGGGTCAGGGTGACTGCACAGGCACAGACTGTGCCTTCTGAGGAGTGACAGCAGAGTCTAAATATTATGGGAGAAATAGACATACCTGAACTAGCCCAGCCAATTCACTAAACAAATAAAGAAGCAAACATTAACAGCAACAAGCCCCACAAAGAGATAAGTACCCAAAGATGCTATAATATATTATCTAAAATGCCCAGTTTTCAACAAAAAATTATAACATATATGAAGAAACAGGAGAATGTGACCCATACATAGGAAAAAAGCAGGAAATAGCAACTGAATTTGAAAAGGCCCAGATGTTAAACTTAGCAGACACATAATACAAAGCAGGAATTTTAAATTTGTTCAAATAATTAAAGGAAACCACAATTAAAGAAGGAAGGTATGGCCGGGTGTAGTGGCTCATACCTGTAATCCTAGCACTTTGGGAGGCCAAGGCAGGATTGCTTAAGGCCAGAAATTCAAGACCAGCCTGAGAAACATAGTGAGACCCTGTCTCTACAAAAAAACACAAAAATTAGCTGGGCATGGTGGCAAGCACCAGTTACTCAGGAGGATGAAGCAGGAGGATTGCTTGAGCCCAGGAGTTGGAGGTTGCAACGAGCTATGATGACACCATTGCACTCTACTGGAGACAACACAGTGAAACCCTATCTCAGGGGAAAAAAAAAGAGAAGGGAAGTTTGACAACAATGTTTCTTAAATGTAGAATCACAATGGGGAGACAGAAATTATAAAAATCAAATGAAAATTCTGGGATTGAGAACTATAATAACTGAAATAAAAAAATTCACTAGAGGGGATCAACACTAGGTTTAAGTTGGCAGAAGAAGGAATTAGCAAACATCAAGATAGATCAATAGAGATTATGAAATATGAAGAGCATAATGAAAAAGAAGAAAAATAAACAAAGCCTCAGTAAAATGGGGACACCACTAAGCACACCAACACATACACAGTGGAATTACCAAAAGGATAGAAGAGAGGAGAAAAAAGTAGTTTTAAAAAATGGCTTAGGGGCC